CAGTTATGAGGGGTGGGCTTTTTAGAGGTGGTTACATTTTGAGGGTGTGGTGCTCGGATCAAGGGTGTGTGATTACTACATCAGCCCATGGATTGATCTGGCATAGTTCTCCTTAGGGTTAAGGGTGGTACCCTGCATACACTATAAAGGACAGAAAGAGGCTCATCTCTCCCTTCCTTGCTTGCTTTTGCTGTCTTATGCCTGCCATGAACTGGTTCTCTTCTGTGTTGTCCCCCTGCCGAGTCACCCTGTCTTGGAACCAGCTGATTACGGACTGAAACCTTTATAAACTATGAGCTAAGTAAACCTTTCCCCCTTTAACTCTGGGTGTCAGGTATTTTGCCTCAGCAAGAAGAAAAGTAACTAAGAACGACAGCATGCTCAGTATTTTTTAAACTGATGGGGTGCACAGTCAAAGTAGACTGGAGACCACTGGATTAAATCATCTCAATTCTCTTCCATCTTTCTTAGTTGCTGTAAATCTTACATTGGAATAACTGACTTGGAAGCTCCTGAAGCTACTGAGCAACTCTCCTTCTCTGCAGCACTCCACAGTTGCCCCTATCCCAAGAAGCCCTGGCCAGTGAACCCCCACTTTTCTCACAATCTCTAATCTTTGTCTTTTGCCTCGGGTAGCTATGGGGAGGGAGGGTTTTTTTTATTTATAACATTATCTTCCAGATATTCTGAATGGAAAACAGGATCCTATTTTGCATGGAAACAATGCTATTTAAAGTGGTTAGATTCTATACTTTAAACTGCTAACATATGTATGTGTATGATTCATCTTAGAGACCTAACTTAATTTTAGAATATCATTCCTATAGGAATACCTGTTAGAGTTCTGGGTAATCAACTTATAAACAAATAAAATCACTTATAGCATGCAACCTGTTAAGCAACAAACTGCTCGCATTTGACCCGATTCCAAAACATGACATACTTACAAAAGCTTCATGATTAAAAAAATGTCTTTTTAATTGACTTTCTATAGTAAATGGGGAGAGCTCTAACTTCATCTAATTCCTAAGAAATGAGTAAGACATGAGCAGAGAAGAGGAAGGCGTTCCAATTTTAAAAACTTGTCCTCATGCAACTTTCTGAGGATCAGTCAGTTCCAAACACTTAGTGAGTTACAATTTTTTCTATCTCCTAAAATACTTCTGACTGCTCCACCCACCATCAAGCATGTGTTCAGTAATTGAAACTCGAATAATCTGAGAAAAATGAGTAATAAGATAAATGAGTAAGATAAAGCTGCCATTTGAAATTATATTCTTTAAAATCCCAAAGTCCTACCTTTACTACATACTTGCTGTTCCATTTATCTTGTCTCCATTTTCTCCTGTATAAAACAGTGACAGTAATAAATACCTACCCTAACTATCCTACAGAATTGTAAAAGTTAAAGAAGCAAGTACATAAAAGTCTCGTATATTTACACACATTATGTACATTTTTCAGTCAAAATGTTACTTAAGTGTTTTGTGTCCCTAATTACCGGTAAAGAGCTATGGAAATGTTAAATTACATGATCTTCAAATTAATTCAAAAATAAAATATACAACAAGGCTGGTATATTACCAACTTTTAGTCTACATCATGACTGAATTATTTAGTAACAAAACTGAGTTGCAAATTTGGAAATGTCCACAGTCCTCTTTATATTGAATATCGGAGGTTTCACCACTAAATGAGTCTTTTTTGCAGAACTTAAAACACAGATTCCCAGACTCAACTCCAACACCTATGGATCAAAATCTGTAGGGATAAGGGCTAAATGTGCCCAATTTTTAAAAGTTCTACAGGTGTCTTTGATTACTAAGAACTACTGGCTTCTACTCACCTCTTTAATTGAAACAAAGCCCCTGAGAGTTACTATCATTTTGCATTTTATAAAGGAAGCTACCAAAAAAATGCCAGGCATTCACGGATAATTTGTGTTGTTTCTTTCCATTAATATAATGAAGTACTGATTGTGTTCCTTGAAAACTAAATACCACACATCAGCCTTCTTAGTCACTAGCTCCATCTACTGGATAAACTTAGGAAAATGCTACAATTTTAGAAGAGGTTTTGCTTAGAAAAGAACTAATAAAAAAATAAAACATCTAACACCAACAGGTTTTGCATGCAATACCCTTTGATAGCTGGAACTTTTTTGAGCCCAGATAAAGACAACTTTTAGAACTTCCTAAAGTAGCTATACCTAACTTTATACGGTAAAACATATTCCTTAAAATAGTAATTACAGTGAATTTTTTTCCCTATACTGTATTCATTTAAAATGATCAGGGTGCTCTGTCTCAAGCTGACAAAATAAGCGCACATGCTAAGCTCCTTTGTCTCTGGCAAACGTACTGAAACGGCAATTCTACATGCACAAAAGGAATTAAAGTCATAAAGGCTCTCAGAATAGGAAACGACTTCTGGGAAACTAAAGACTGACATGTTTATGTTGGCACATGGGCTATACCTCAGAGCATGTAAAAGAGGAAGCTGATCAGAGGAGGCAGGTTTTATGCTATCGTAGAATTTTACACTATTTGTCATCAGGCAGCACCAAATATGAAGGACTTGCCAAATGTGAATCATGAAGTGATTTTAGAGCTAGAAATGGACCAACCTTTGTCTAACAGAAGTTTTGAATGCTAAAGCAGAGATAAAGAAAAGGGAGAATATCTGATGACTTCTTCAAACTGAATCTATCAAATGTCTAGTAGGATGAATGAAACAAAGCAACCAGCCAAACAAAAAAACCCACATACTAGTTAAACATTCCCCAGTAAAATTCCAGAATTCCAAGTGTAAATGAAAAATCCTAACAGTTTCCAGGTGGGACAAAGAAGGTCACCTGCAAAGAAGTAACATCAGACTTCTTATATAGAATAATAAAATACTATTTCCTTTTACTTATCTGTTACTTACGTGAAAAAGTTTTTCTGTCTTTGGAAAAACTGCAATGATATCATACAGCCGGACTCTTGAAGAAGTTGCCCTCTAGTAATACAAAAAGAATGTTATCATACAGTAACACAAAGTATATGCATGAATTCCTGCCCAGTGATCTAACTACACTTACATTTTAGTCACACAACACTTTAAATATGCTGACTTTTTGTTTTGTTTATATAAAAGGACATGAGAATGTAGATACCAATATCCAACCCACAAACCATCCTATCTTTCCCTCTTCATTTGTTACGCAAAATATAGTACATGGGACATAAAAATCAAAGATAGCCTCTGATCTTTCACAGTGGTGGAAGAGTTCCCCAGACAATTACTGAGTATTTGCTGTGTGCTGGGCACTGGGGATACAAAATTATTAATAAAAAACACTAATATGAAATCACTCTGTCAATGAAATTCACTCCTCTCCTTTTTGCAAACAAAAAAATATACAAGATCAAGTTTTATGTCTTCTATGTAATTTATATTACTAAGTGTGACATAATTAGGTGCACAAAGAGTACTTAATTACACATTAAAATGATAGCTGAGCAAGAAAATACTTGGCAGTTCTGGGATAGAAAAAAGCACAATGGTAAAGCCAGAGTTATTGTTTAAAAAGGAAAACCTCAAACCTATAGTGTATGCGTTTATATATGAAAAAATTAAAACTATATATTCAAATATATAATCTCCATATGATAGGATAGATAGAAACAGAATGTTGCCTTGTATAAAATACCAAATTTTGGCTTTTCACAGATTCTTTAGCAATTAGTAATTGTTATGAAGTGGGTCAGCCTTTCCTTCATCACTTCTCTTCTATGACAGAGGTGTCCATTCTAGTTAAAGATGAAATGGCTCACCTCAGGGATTTCACTTGATCTTTCCTATCAACAGGCACACTGCAATCTCTCCCATATAACAAACAAAATCTCTTTATACAGCAAGCTTTCATCCATCAACTACCCTATGCTTCTGTTCTCCTTCAGTGTTAAATTTCTAGGCAAAGTTATTTTCTCGGTTAAAAGTTTCCAAGACTTTCCACTGTTTTTGGCCTTTTCAATTTGTCTTCCCTTTCTGTTTTCCTAGGTTTCAGGTCTCTATATAAGTTGTTCTGACGGTAGGAACTCTCTCTTTCCTGCCTGTCACCTGTATACTGGTCCCAGCTTAAATATCAACTTATTTAGGGTACACATTCCCAGATTATCCTTTATTTGCCACTTCCCCCTTTTAAAATTTTCCTCATACTCCTAAATAGTATTTTTTCAGTGCTTGTCTTACAATTAAACGGCAAGCTTACACATTCAAAGATTACAGAGCAATATCCACAGCACCCACTTTATGTCTGGTTCATGTAAGTTCAATGAATGGAAGTTGACAGGGGATTCTTTAATTGTGGTATCACTGTACATGTGCCATGAGAAAACATACATATGGAATACTGTGTGAATTCTAAGGGTAGGGAGAGTAGGCAGGTATCATGGGGAGAATGAGGTAACACAAAATGCAACGGTATTCAACATTCATCAGTACAGATTACGAGGCCAATAAGAATGCTAAAAGGAAAAGTAATTAACTTACCAAAACATTGCAGTGAGATGGATCTGTAACTATAATCGTCAATCTAGTTAAAATTTTAATTGGTCTTGATTTTCCCTATAAACAAAAAATATGCTATCAACAAAAGCATAAAACATAACTGATTCATTTTCTCTTTTACCAGTGGAAAGTACTCATTAAAAAGTACTAGCCATAACGGATAATGAAGATAAAGCCTAGCACCTATTCTTCAAGGGTATAATACAGCCCAAGAAAATATGATGTGTGTACATTAAACTACATAATGAGATAAATTAGAAACTGTAAGACTTTAGGAAGGAAGAAAATCAAAGAAATACCAAATTGATAGTAAGTTAATGTTTAAGAGGTGAGCCTTGATGGAAAAGTAAGACTGGTAGGCAGAAGAAGAAGGTGCAGTCAGGTTAGGGAACAGCACACATAACAGGCTATCTTTGAATTGTACGAATAGATACTATGTTTCTTTCTTTTTTTTTTTTTTTCATTTAAACAGCTTTATTTTAGCAGCTCAGTTTTTACATTCTACATATTTTTCTTTTAATACATTTCTGTTTCTGTATTCTGCATAGATGGCATATTCATTAACTCTTGTAGTTGACTTTTTCAATTGCTATTTGCTGCTACCTGGCCTGAAAGAAGTCAGGAGGATAAACAAAATGTTCTTGGTGGAAATGAAACAGCATTTAACTTCTCAGCAGAACTTCACTCTGATGGAGCCTTCAGTGTCAGCTTTTCGTCTTTTTCAAATCCTGAGCAGACAGGAGATCTTCCCTTGGGATATCGAGCACAACACTTACGCAGTGCTTGAATGACAGCTTGACACTTCGATTCCATGTAATTGTTGGCTTGTAAACATTTCTGTATTTCACAGGCTTGTTTCTGGCACGGATCCTTTTGTGGCATATCCAGAAATATGAATATAATGTTTCTTGGGCTAATTACTCCGCCTCGAGAACAGCTAGGCTAACGCTTCCAGGTCTCCCACCCCGAGCAGCTCAAGCCAGATCGCGACGGGAGGCCGGGGCAAGCCAAGGGGCAGCCCGGGCCGAGGACACCAGAACCGAAGTTGCGAGACGCGGGCCGGTAACCGGAAGTGATCCAGGGAGAGTTGTACGAGATTCGGGGGCTGTGACTCCGCCCGCCACCGCCCTCCGTCGCAACCGCCACGCCTGCCCCAACTGGCGCGGGCGCTTTCCAGGTGCTGCTGATACTATGTTTCTTTAAAAAACACTTACCTGGGGGCTGGGGATTTAGCTCAGCAGGCACAGCGCCTGCCTGGCAAGCGCAAGGTCGTGAGTTCGATTCCTGGTACTGGGAAAAAAAACAAAACAAAACAAAAAAACCCCAAAAAACACTTACCTGAACAATTGGCAAAGTTGTGAAAAGCTCAGAAACCACTATTGGTTTTTCAATTTCCTACAACAAATGATAAATAGTCACCCTAGACTATACATGTTAAAGGCAAGAAGCCTAATGGAAAAATTAACAGGTTAAGTTTTATTACTTAAAAAAAAAACGCAAGCACATTTTTAGGACTGAGAAAGACTTAAGCTTCCTAAAAAGAAAATAAAGAAGAACATTAAAGAGCAGACAAGTAAATAAGAATATCAGTGAATAAAAGGGATGAAAACTAATTTTTAGATAGAAACAACTTAAAAGAAACAGCTGTTAGCCTAGAAATAAACATACATATTTCCCTAGTATGCTTAAGAGGGACATCAGTAAGTTCATGACAATAAAATAAAGACAAAATATTATGATTACAGTTCAATCAATGCATTTTAAAACATTATTGAGAGTGGCTTAATTAACATTAAATCAGCTTTAAGAATCCTTACACTATGTCAGAGCACTTCACAAAAATGTCATTGTACAAATATATATCAGCTCAAATAACGAACATAATAGCACACAAATATGTGCATTTAAGAAGTATGTTCATCTGCACCTTCCCTGTTCACAATATAAACAAAAATAACTACAAACACAATATTTATTAACTTTAGAAGTGAACTTATTAACATTAGAAATCTAATTTTACCTGTTTCTTTTCCTTAAAGTCAACAACATGATTGATAGCAATGACTGAATAACCAACTGAAAAGAAAAACAGAATATTCTTATTAAATATTCTCCTTCTTGTACATACAGGCCTATGCTGATTCTAGATATCAAGACTAGGAGGCAGTATAGCAGAACAGTTATGGGTGGGAACTCTGCCTGGATCTAAGTACAACTGTACCATTTACAAGCTACTTAGTGTAAAATTTCAGATTCTTCATCTATCAAATGGTAATAATAACACTGCTTAGTTCATATGCTTGTCAGAAGAATTAAACAAAATAATATATATAAGGTATTTGAGAACAGTGGTAGCCACATAGTCTGGGCTTTGTTTAACTACCGTGATTTCTTGTTATCATGGCACTAAAAATTTGTGCTTCTGCTCTCTAACCATTCATTTCCATCCCATCATGTTTCTACCTATCCACTGTCAACATTACTATCGTCCATTTCTTTTTCTTTCTACTCTATTTCCTTCCTTTTTTGAGGAGAGAGATAGAGTGATGACTCCCTCACACCACTGCCCACTTCTCCTTTTATACTGCCCTTCATCAATAAACTGGGAACTATAAGGCCAGGCGTTTGCTTTATCAGACCCATCGCAGCACTGTTCTGGACATTTGGCTCACAAAGCCACATCTAAACCAGTACTCTTATCTAAGTTATCTTAGTACTAATAGGATGGTAGGATAGTACTATTAAAAGATAATGCACATTAATACCAAAACAGTGGTCTTCCCTCTCATGGGTCTGTCCATTACTTGACAGCCCTGTATCAGGTGTTGAGCACACAGATAAAGAAAACAGCTCTCATTCTAAAGAAGCTTATATGATTTACTGCAGAAATAAGGCAGTTAAATAAGTCATTACATATAATTTTTTTTTTTTTTTTTTTTTTTTGGTTTTTTGAGACATGGTCTCACTGTGTAGTCCATACTGGTCTTAAACTCACTATGTGTCCAAGCTGGACTTGAAGTTGTAGCAGTCCTCCTGCCTCAGCCTTCTAATGTTGGGATTACAGATATGCACCACCACACCCTAAATTTTTCTTTTTGATAAGGAAGGATTTTACAGAAGCATTGTTATAGAATGACATTTGGTTGTGAGGGGTCAGAAAGCCTCCAAAAAGTGACCTTTAAAAATAGAAAATGTATTTTGCGTTTCACCTTTCACCCAGTCAATTAAATCAATCACCCACACCTCCTTCATATCCTTTTCTATCCCCAGTTATATGCTAAACTTTTCCGTTATACCTATTTGGGAAACCGTTTTGGCTAGTAAACAATATCTCCACTATCCTTCAGAAATGTCAGACTGTTTTTCCACAACACCTTTTCCTGTATTACTCCTTACCTGATATTTTAGGAGTACTACCTAATCAGTTGTTGATTTTTAAAAAATTTATATAGTATATGTCTTAAGGGTATCATTAATTCCTTATATCACATCATAAATAAAGAGTGGGGACTTTGTCTTCTTTATTCTTTAACAATTTTTATCTGCCAAAAAATTATTTTGTATTTTGCTTTATAAATTGATGATTTTTTTGTCATGTCATAAATTTCATTGAATTTTTAAAGAAATAAAGACTGGATAACAATGTACACACCTAACCATATATATTCCAAAGCATATTTTAAATTGGGGCTTTCTTTGTAAAGAAATCATTATAACTTTTCTATCCTGTATCTTTAAAGGTTTTCAGTTTATTCATAAGCATTAATGAAGTAACTCTCACTTATCAGTGCATACTGTGACTGTAAAAAAACAGAATATGTAATACACTGTCCTTTTCTAAAGAAGCTTATAATGTATTAAATAAGGAGATCGCATCAGGAAAAGCTTTGCTGAGAAGTTAATATTTGCAATGAGCCACACCCAGGAAAATTCAATTTATAGAAACTGTCACAGAACGTTAGCAACAAAAAGTCCAGGTCACCATGTTTATCTCTCTCTTTCTAATGATGAGGTAAGTATGTCCCGGATTTAATGGTTGCACTGCAAAGAGATAGTTACTTCCCTATAGATAGAGCTGGGCCTCCATCCACGGATTGAGCCAACTACAGACAAAATATTTGGAGGTACTGTGTAGCTACCGAACAGATACAGACGTTTTTCTCTTTTCATTACTCTGCAGGCAATATAAATGTAACAACTATTCACATTTCATTTACACTATATTAGGTATTATAAGCCATCTACAGGTCACTCAAAGTATACAGGAGGATGTATTCGATTACTCTATATGAAAATAATACCCAGTTTACATGAGGTCTGCCTAACCGTTGATTTTGACGGGGAGGAGTAGTGTCCGGGAACCAATCACTCACGGATGCTGAGGGAGATCTACTTCATAAAGAGAACAGGAAGAAACGCTAATTCACTTTGCAGATAGAGGTTCCACCATAACTTCTGAAAAGTATCGATAAACAGCTTCCACAATGAGCCGAGAACCGTCTGAGGAACCCATGTTACTGCACTCGTATCTTTACGGGAGACACAAACCGTGACTAACTCCAACAGACAAAACAGGGTCCCACCTCTCAGGGCTCCCACTTCTCTTTGATTCAAACATGAGCAGCATCCTAATACTCTGACCATGTGTCCAATTCCCTCCTGTCCGGTAGGACCCATGCCATCCCTCTACATACTACTGTCACAAGACTTTACAGCCCCGTGCACTCCCTGCTTGTGTCCCCAGCCTCTCGCATTTGCTCAGATACTTTCGTGAGACTCGGGAAGGACCGACATTGAAAGCACTGGCTCAGGTAAACTGTACAGCTGGAAGCCAGCACCCATCAGCTGTGGGAGTCTACACAAATCCCTCGCCCTTGTCGGACCCCTGCTCCCTAAATTTTCATTAAAAATTCAATTAAGAGCATAACAGACCCACAAAACTTTCGAGTTTCTCCAACAGGCAGCACCGAGGCTGGCGGACTCCAGGGATTTCCCAGAGACTCCAGGAGACCTGAGCGTGACTCGATGGTTTTGGGGACAGGAATAGGTAGAGACTATGAGGCCACGAAACCCAGACTCACGGTGAGCGGCGGTTTCCACCATTCCGCGCAAAGCCTTCAGATCGGAACCCGCTCTTATATCTAAATCTGCAAATGCCGCCATGCTGAAGTCCCATGATCGCCCCGCGCGCGCTCGTCTGCGCAGCCGCCGGCCGCGCGGAGCAAGCTGGGAGTTGTGGTTCACCTTTTGGCTACGGGCACACCGTGGCTTGGGGTGGCTTCGAGTACCAGCAAAACCTAGTGTGTTCAAACCAGGACCCTACTTTAGTCCTTCCTTTCTTCTAAATGAAAATATTCGATTCCCTCTGGAGGGGTGTATTTCTCCCATGTTCCAGCCTCTCAAATAACGAAGAAAGTGAAAATTCGAAATGCACCCAGAGGGTAACTATATAGAGCCTATCTTGAACCATTTTCCGAAAGTGCTGTTTAAAGTACAGCAAGGAATCCGTTCTTCATTTCTTCCTCCAAAGTCCATTCTGTTGTTTAAAATGTTTTTAACGGAAAGTATGGGTGTGTATGACCCTGAAATCACAACAGAGGACTGTCGGAGGAGAGGGTCTTCTTGCAAAATCAGAACAGGCCTTGGGGAAGCATGCTGTCTGTTTCAGCCGATGTCTTCAACCACAAGGTGGCGGGGCTCTCTCTCCAATGAATGGTTAGTGCCAACCGTTTAGCAAAAGACAGGTTTGAGGAGGAAGGTGCAAAATGGAAATTCGGGTTTTTACAATTTTCTGTAGGAGAAACATACAAGGTGGTGCAGAGCCAGCATATTCGATGTTTCTGGGTTTTTTTTTTTTTTTGGACTGCTTACAAATGAACTCTTGAAGACTGCTAGAACAATTATCTGATACCATGAAATTGTGGAAGTACTGGACAGCTTGTGTGAAAGGGTCCGGTCCTCATACTTCCCTCCCACTAATTCTTAGTGGACTAACAAGTTGTCCCTAACGCATTACCAGTAAGCAGCTCCAACCTCTTGCGACTCACCAATGTAACATCCTCTGAACTGTTCTTCAGCTAGATAGGAAGAGTCCACTGACCAGGAACTTGTATAAGACAGCAATGCTAAATTGCTGCAAATGTTTTTAAGCATTTTAAAATTCTGTATTTACAGATTACAAATACTATGTAGGTAGTCTGCTGTCTGTGGACCACACCTTCAGCAGTACTCCTTTATTTGTAGGTCTC